GAACAAATCCTATATGAATTCGTTTGAATTGACCAGTCAATTACCTCAAGAAAGTTAAGAGTTTTAAAATTGTGTGTAAGTTTTCTTAAGCGAATTCCCCCTAAGGGGAGGCTTCTTGATAAAGGAAAGGTATCGTTTAAATTGCGTATACATTGTTTAGATAATTAAGCAATTAACCACCTCAATCAGTTGAAATTATGTGAACAAACTATGTATACAAGACTTTTCGCCACATTACACTGTAAACAGCCTCTTTCTGTACTCTTTTTAGACTAGAAAGTAAACAAAGAATAAAGAATGTTTACAGAAAAGAAAGGGACCGGCAAAGTCAGCTGGAGTACGGTAAACACAGCTGGAGTACGATAAACGTACTGGCGCAACAATGCAAATATTGCGTTAGTGTTAATCTCACTATTCCGGAGGCTATAACATTATTATATTTTCTATTGATTTTGACTTATATGTTTCTTTAAAACCATCAATTACTTAGACTATACATTGAAGGAAAGTTGACAAACATAACATTGTCACATCTTTATAACAAAGAAATCAAGTGCAATCAAAAGTAAGAGAAACATTATACATGCTCGGACGTATATATTTCCTGACGTCATTGGAGCCTTAGCCTTGGTTAACATAACCTCAATAACTCATCGAAAGGTGGTGAGGTTATGTGAGGCGTCAACAAATGACAGACGAATACACAGGCATTTCCAATTGTAATGACTGTTGGAACTTTCAGTGTTGGACGAAAGTAGACGTACAAGCTACATCAATGTAAACAAACTTACCAACTGACTCACTTGGTTGTGATGTATGGACAATTTTTAGCATTCAATGAGGATGATCTTATACGAAAATAGACAGCAACAAGGTAACTGAATAGATATAGTGCTCGCCTAGTAATAGAAGGCTGACTGTTTGAACCTGTTCAATTCGAAACTGGTCCAGCTGTTATTCATTATTGGCCTGGAAAAAATGACATAACTGAAGAACCAGCTGATCTAAGTCAGTAACAAACTACACTAGTTAAAGTCAAAGTTATTAATAGCTAGATTGACAAAGTTGAGGCAATTCATTCAAAACTCGTCGTTGAAGCTCTTTTTTCGTGTCTAGTTCATATTCAGTACCGATTGCGAGTGTCGACGAAATGTTGTTTCTAATAATTTAGGGTTAATTTCATGATTCGTGCTTAATGTTTTATCAATGGTCATATCCTGGACCTGGAACAGAAAAGGTGCATAACCAATGGACCATAAACTAAACAAACATAAACAAATGACGTCACTGGTCCGGGTGGCTATAGCTGTAACAGCTGATTTGTAACGTTTTTTGAAAGTTCCATTATTTTAATTACTAACATGTTTACTTTCGGGCCAGTGATGTAATTTGTTTATGTTTATGATCCACACCGTTTCTGTTGTAATATTCGTGGTTATCCTTGAGTATTTGGTTTGATATAATGATAACTGCTAAAATCAGCTGATTATTGACAAAGAATTCGCGTTATTCCACATATGATACTTCCCGACATTTGCCTTCAACTGCCCCAGAACTGTCAACTTAATCGTGAATTGTTTTTGTACAACGTAATAACCTAAGTGATCTTTTTAACAGAAAATATGTAAAAGATACAATGTTTCAAAAATAATAACCATTGTAATATTAGCTTGAAGATTAGAGTTAAACTTATGGGAAATCATTTTGCACAACGTGTTAGTGTACACTATGTAATATTTACATATAATGTAAATGTCTTAAGTGTTGTATGACATAATGTATGGGTTTATTTGGATTTGACATCAGAGATATAAAAATCTCCAAAACAATGCAATACAAGTTTTTGAATCCCTGAACAACGAAGTTAGATCACCTTGTGTTCGAAGTAGTTTTGCCACAAACCAATGACTATCCATTATTACCTCGCAAGTGGAATCATTTGCCTTCAATAGGAACTCTTGAATAATCGTATATTCAACATGAACGATGATTAAACGCTTTTACCTAATAGTAGGGTTCGATGAGCCAGTTGTGTGCGCTTTATGTGAAGGTTTTGTAAAATGAAAACTATTTGTTTAGCAATGTGTTTAATTCTACTGATTTATTTTATATTTCTCACCACAAAAGTTTTTTTGTAACAACATATTTTGGTACCAATTGAATACTGGTTGTCAGGTTGATTCTAAAATATTTAAGAATTGTAAATACTTTCACAACATCAGTTTGGAATAATCTTCAACCTTCAAAGAATACTGACATAGAATCAGCTGTTTTAATCACAGTCCTGTAATTCCATTGCAACTAACTCTCAATCTCAATTCATCAGATCTAACTGCACGTAGTCAAATCTTTATACCAACCGTTTCAAATAGCACAATTTAATATTAAGTAAATTCTTTGTATCTAAAGTCAATGCCAAGGGTTATTTAGACATCTACAAAGTTGACGATCGTTTCATCAATAGACGAGATTTTAGAAAACAGGTCTAGTAGATTTTGTCGTTTCAGATTTCACGTTATTTTTTAATCCAGCTTACAAATTAACGTAAAGTCACAGACAACAGAACAACCATAGAGTAATTAAGTTTTACTCTCTGGTCTTTTGTATAAACCACAACTCCAGCAAAAAGAGCTGCAGTATCTCAATCAACCCCACAAAAACAATAAATTACTCACTCATAATAATACTTAGACACATTGACATACATCATAACATATTTGTAGTTAGTGCAGAGTAGGGTACAATATGTGAAAAAATATACGTAGGCCTACGATACTAAACAGGAATTTATCGTTTTCTATGTTTATTTATCATTCCTAATGCAATGCACTAATTTAAATTTCAGTTTGCCTGCCTTAACCCGAAATCCAGAACTCTGGATCTTGATCAATCAGAAAAAAAATTGTTAAGTTTCTATAGTCACCTGACAAAGTGGGTTTCCTTGCACTGATTATAGTACAGAAAGTTGCCAATTGCTGCATTTATGTCCTACTTTTGCCGCACAATTTTTTGCCGCACTCTTTTTTGCCACACTCTTTTTTACCGCACTCCATTATTCCACTATTCCAACCAAACAACAAAGAACAGTGTGCTTTTAATAGGCATGTAATCTGTGTAAGCTTGAAAATACGTTGGCAACACATAAAGATACTACGACTACGATCAGCTGGTGTAGCGTTTGCCATTTTGTTCAACGCTTGGATTTAACCTAACCTAAAACGTGTCGTTTATTGTTTCACAGACTAATTATTTCTATGCTCTGTAATAACTGTAGGAAAAATATAATGGGTAACACGAGTGCAAATTGCCTTCGCACACTAGTTACAAAAATTATTGGAAAATCAAATCGCTCCCGGTGTCTCAAATCCACACCACTTCTAAGACAACCAAGAAAAATATTCCATAGTGTAAATGTTTTTGTATTTTAGGACTTAATTGGTCCTATAAATTCGAAAGGTTTTATCGAATGGATACTGGAGAGATATCCAACTTCGTTGTATCCTAGGGCCAGTGTGTTAGTGGTTGGAGGGGGAAGGAGTTTTGCCAGTCCAAGCCAAGTCCCTTGGTGACTCTACACTGCCGCGGTTGTAGTTAAGTTGTGTTTGGACTACACTTTACCTTTCTCAAACCATCACACCGCCAGTAAGTCCAGCTATTTAAATTTTAAAGTGCCTTAGTTAATTTTTAAATCTGAATTTTTACACTTGGGTTGAACAGTAACTGTAGTTTAGTTATTTGTGAGATTATTTAAACATTTACGTTTAAAAATAATTGTCTAGGTTATATAGTTTTTACAATCCTAGACGTAATTAATTTATTGACAGAATAGAAACACAAAAATGATTTATTTTATTCAAATTTTTCATTTATTACAGAATTTTTATTTAGATTTGGTGAGAGTATAATTGTGTAAATTAATAACCTATATTAGTCAAGTTTGTTTAAAATATAGTCTTTTTATTTGGAATTAAAAATCATTTAGCTGTGATTCTTTAGTATAAAATGTCCATTAGTTTAGCGCTCTTCACAATACTTGTAGTAAAAATGTTTGAACCTATAAGTCAAGTTTAATTCAACTTCATAATATTCATATCTCCAAATAAAATCCCATAGTTTAGAAACCGTTAAAGACTTCGTAATTTACTCGAACCCACTTTTAGCACAGTACCAGGTACTGTAGGTCTACTACAGTGTTTTAGTACTAAAGTGTTTTAGTATGAAGCAGCGGTGGTTTTAGATGTAATTGGGGGGTGGGGTAAGAACAAGATGTTACTCAATTCATCTTGGGGTAAGATGTGTACAATAGTGCCTTGGTACCTCAATAGTTTTTAGAATACTGATTTTGAAAATACTGCACTTTTTTCGATGCGGGGTTTGAAAGAGGGTATAAAATGTTCCGTTGATTTAAAAGAGCGCTCTGCGGAATAGGTTAAGTCCTAGTTAAATATCCCTTTAATCAATTTATCTTTTAAGTAAAAGATCATTTACTTCCCAGGAGGTCCGTGTTTGATAAATTTGAACTCAAACGTAGATAATATGGTAGAACTATGATTTAAAGTTTTGTTCAAACTCTTTTTCAATTTATCTCACAATTCGGAAAGCTTGTAACTCATGAAGCTGAAAAAGATCCCCCTCTCCCGCGAAAAAAACGTGTTGGTAATCAATAAAACATATTTTCAAAACCTTTACTCTAGTTAAATACCGCAATCGGAGTTAGGTTAACATTAAGTTACAAAATGTCAGACTAGAAATTATTCCTATTTTCGAAAGACACGTTTTTAGGCGAGGTTTATTATATTGATCAGCTTGTGGGCTTCACTCACCTTAATTTGTTAATACAGGACTCGTCCAAATGTGCTTAGGTTAAGTAAATCAAAGCTCCAAAATTTTGGCTGTTTTCATTGTCCCATTAATATTTATAGCCATTGAAACTGGGGGAACTACTCACCATGGCCAAGGTTAAAACTGCATCTGCCTATTTAGTGCAGTTTTTGCAACCACTTCCTAGGTAAACGTCTTAAGTGTTGACCTAATTCCATAATGAGTGATGATTTAGTAGCAACGTTCGGTATAGTTTGTTTGATTTGTATCATCAACATGATTAAGTTATTCCAAGTAAGTCTGTGTTGTATTTAAATTAACTAAACAAAACCTGTATTTTGCTAGTATGTTTTGGATAGATGCCACTTTAACAACTTAAAGTTTTGCTATTTAAACGAGGCCTTAGAAACTGTGTCACCCCACAAGGAAGCTTGCGTAGCCTAACTGTCATTGTAAGATAGTAATTTCTAAACTCGGCCAATAAATTTCCAACGGTGAAAGTTATTAGGTTCGAACATTTCCTGGAATTTCTCTGCGCTGCACCTTTGCTCCTCGTTACAGCAGACCTGCGTACTTTAATTATGCATGGGAAGCGCAGGAGTAAGCTGTGAGGTTACGTAAAATTGAAAATATTTTCTGCTACAACGCCAGGAAAGTTAAATTGAATATTAGTATAAGGTTCTCACATTTATTCGAAATATTAATATATTCTACATTAGACTGAAAGTGTTGTATCATTGACTTAGAATCAGGGTAGACATCGGATGTAGTTGGGGGAAATAGCTTTATCAAATGGGATATCTGAATGAGCCCCTACTATTAAAAATTATTTCTCCAATATTAATGTTTTATATGGTACCTATGACAGTCAATATGATGTAAAAAGTTCTATGATTTACAATAGGTCGACTTTGCCTGTTAGGTTTAGTCAAAAAGATCGTGTAAAACAGAATGCAGTCTTTGACAGCAGCAAAAATTGTTTCGAAGACATACCTAAAAAAATAAAAAAAAAACTACTTTCGTTTTGAAATCTCAAATTGGATTCGACTTTGACGTAAGAAATATATTACCACTTCTATTCAGAATCAAAAATTCTTTTTCACAAACAATCCACTGGCAAAATACATCAACATGCAGACTTGGGATTAATATGTATTTATTAGTTTTAAAATGTTCAAAATTTACGCCAAATTATGCAATTTCTTGTAATGGCAGTCTATATGTTATTCATTAATTATAATTGTCCACGCTTTAAATTCATGATAAAATGTTTGTGAACGGATAGACTTTTGTGAAAGATGAATATAAAATAGCATAAGTTCTGGCGTCCACTGCCGGGAACGCCGTGTAGTTAAGGCGCAGGCGCTACGTAGCTACACGGCAACTACACGACGCTCTTAGTGGTGGACGTCAGAACTTATGCTAACCGCAGCACTGCTGTCGGTCTATATTTAATTATATTTGTCTATGATCTGAGGCTTCGATTCTCAAACAGAAAATTACGATTTTAATTTTTTTGATCAAATAAACAACTGTTCTAAACGTACTACAAGTACTAATTCGAGGCGGGGAAAGCTTCAATATTTGCAAATATAGATAAACTAACCTTGATCTTAGATGGTTTTGTCTTTTAATTTTGGATAAGAAGATAAGTCCTGTTAAATGGATTTGGCAAAGTGTTTTAACATTGCGATGTTGAAAACAAAGCTGTTTTGCACCTCCAAAACAATAGTGTGAAGGGTGCAGTCAAGGTTACACAAAGATTGGCGTCTTTAGGTGAAGATTTGTAGACTAATAGTATTTTGCGATCATCACACGAACTGACTCTATCAACAATTAAGCATTTTCTATTAAGATTATAAATAAGACGTATGTCTGTCTATATCTGTCGGTATGTTTATTTGAAGACTACGATGTACACGCAAAAACAACAGAACCAATTGGAGTTAAATTTTACAAAAATAAAGCTACAGACAGCTCCGATGATTTGTTGCTACGATATTGACCGAGGTATATGTCCCGTTGGCGAGAGTGTTTGAGGCGAGTTAAGTAAAAATATTGATTGGTCACCGCACCAACAAAGAGAAAACTCACAATGTTCACGTTTGCGTAGACATTTAAATGTAAACAAGCAGAATTGTCAAATTCACTTTCACAATCCAACACAGCTGGTTCGAACAAATTAAATATTTTGCACAAACAGAACCGGAGGACCGAGCCACAGCTCGGTATAGATTATTTCGATTGTAAAAGCAATACAGAGGAAACTCACGTTTTATTTCCAACTAATTTTGGCTTTTATTAGTAAGAAGTTTCGGTGGAATTTAAATTTATACTATGGACATTTTAACTAGCTAATCCACAACACATTTATTTTACAGTCCATGGTAAAATAATTCGTTTTAGCCTATACTTGCATAAACATTGTATTGACAATTTATTTAAACAGCGGATTGATATTTTTAAATTCCAATTTATATAAAGTAAATATAATACCGTATTATTAAATATTTATTTCACTGCTAAACCAAAGTTTGCTAACAATTGCCTCAGTACTTCGAGGATTACTGCTTGGTAGGAGAGAGCCAAGTAAAATAATCAGTATTTGATCGGAACTATTTTCCCCTGTATCGAGTAATCTTCAGTGTAATCTTTGCTCAATGGTAACAGCTGACGTTTTCCCCTTTTACTATGGATGGCTTTTAAACCCGTGTTACTATTATAATCTTTCCTTTGGTTATTTTTTTTCAACAAAACATGGCTACTTGGCAACCTATAAGGCCAATGTTATTTTTTTTATTTTTAAATAATTTGTGTAGCAAATTACGAATTTTCCTGAGGTAGTGGCAATTACGCAATAACGTCAATCACGTTTTTAGGCCAGAAATTCATTATTTACAATATTTGAGGGAAATCATCGAAGCCGTTTTCGAGATCTTTGTACGAACAAGCACACATATCTTGTATTGAGCAAGCAAACATTGGTCATATAGGTCATATAGGTGTATAGGTGGTCGTAGGTTTATTTATCAACTAAAATATTATTGGTATAAAGCTAAACCATGTAACCGTATACTATATTCGAAAAAAATAAAGACTGTTGATACATGTCCAAAACAAAGAATGACTTACTGTATCTATTTTACAAACTCAGTGAAAAATTATACACTCATCCTAAAAATGTACATATTATTTTGTTACTCAATAAACTTCTGGTCAGCAAAAGATACACCAAAGCGTACCGAAATATGGTTACCTTCTAATTAGTTGCGAGATAAAATTTAAATATTTGTATTACAAATAGCACAAGGACGTTCAAGATGTCGAATTTACTTTTGATACAAAACGTGTTTACGGAGTCCAAAACGTCACGTTTCTATACGCAACTTGTTCAACATATAAACTACAAGAACACAACTATATTTTGTACGCACGTTCTTACCAAATTAATGCTAATTCACGACCTTTACCATACTCGTTTCAAACTTAGTTTGGGCCTCTTCATGGCTTCGTGTGGGCCTGGTGGGGTTTGAGGTAAACCGGTTTGGCATGAGGTCAAAGTTTAAGCGTGGATCTTACTTTGAGAAACTGAGATAAGTATAGGCGTCACTTGCCGCCGATCCTACTTGGTCAGAACCATGCCTTCCAATGTTATTCGTTGGTCCCTTGGAACAGAAAGGACCATGCGCAGGTCACGTATTTTTATTATATTCCTGCAAGTGGGAAATGAAACAATCTTAGAAGTTTAATGTTTATAATGTAGTTTTTAATTTTATTTGTGACTAGGAAAATCAAGACATGAATTTAACAGTAAATTAATGTGTCCGAGTACCGTAACAAATAAATAAAAAATACATTTATAATAACTTTTGTAAAGTGTTATGTTTAAAGCATTTTTTGGAAATTTGCAATACAGAAGATATGTTTGAACAGAGTTTGGCTTTTATTTTATAATTAATTAATTGGATTCTGTTTTACAAGTTCTATAAATCTGTGTGCTGTATGATCATAGGCCTACTATATCTTAATATAATATTTCATATATTACAACTGAATATACTCCTCATTCCGGCATTGATCGGTGTGTCATTGCATAACAATGAATAAATATGATTTGTTTGTAAAATAAACACGTTTGTCTACATATTGATTTTTTTTTGTCAAAGTCAAACTGTGTGAAACATTTAAATTATAAAGTATTTGCCGAGTGTATAAGATCTTGGAGGGGCAGTTTAAATACCAAGCAGATCTGTAATACTGTATTTGGGATTACAGGGAAATTTGAGATTTTAAAAATAGGTACTCAAAATGATAAGGGCCCATGGATCTACAATACTATTTCTGAAACAAAACGAAACTATTTAACACGCAAATTTTGAGTTTAACGTGCGTTTTGTTGCGTTTTGCCAAAACGGCCACAGGACAAACAGGATTTGTCTTAACCTTGATTCAAGGTCTTTAGGACAACTTCTAAACGAAACCTGCTTCACATTTCCTGCACAACTAGTCTACTATAGTCCTATAAACTGATTGTTTAGTTCAGAGTCGCAAATCCTGTCAATTCTTGTTTCTTTGTCTATCAAGGATAATGTATACAGGTCTGCATTCTTTGAGTGGAAAACCAAGTCACGAAATTACAAAGATTACCTACAGATCAGAGCAGATTACTAAAATTAATATATGAATTCGGGCCCATGCAGTCTTAACACTATACTATCCTTGGTATAACGCCCAGTGTCTAGGTAAACTTACGGTTTTATCTTAAGATAAATTCCATGAAGTATTGACTCTCATTCCGATGTTAAAGTTGTAACTAGAACAAAAAATAGAACTTGGTTGAATTGAGCGTTTACTGAACTTTAACTTTTACTCACAACTTTGTGAATATTGAATTGTGAATATTGTGAATACTCCGTGTGAATATTCCAAAACATTCCTGTCGAAGATAACCCTTCAATAACAACATTAGGGAAGCGGCTCAAACCTTTCCCATGTCGCGGTTAGTATCTTCTGTAGCTGATTACTTTCTCAACTTCTATCGTGATATTATCTATATCTGTGGTTGTCAACACGACTGACGCCAGTGGAAAACACACCAAACTTGGCAAAATACACACAAAACTTACCAGTGATGTAATACCTTCCGCAGTGTGTGCTTTTTCTAAACAACCCCTGTATTTGGACTGAGGATATCCCCATGTGAACCTAAAACTGCTCGTAAAAAAAGAATGGAGCCGCCTGGTCTAGTGGAAGAGCTCAGGGCTTCGGTCCCTGAGGTCTTGAGTTGAAATACC